CATTTGAATTACTGTCTCCTGTGTCCCCTTTATGCAAATAAATGGGCAGTAGGTTTGTGTTAGTACTGATCTTGTCTATTTGTAATGTATTTTGTCTGCTTAGAAAGCACAAGAACATTATTAGCAATTGTTTCTGTGGTGCTGTTCTGTAAACTATCGGGTCAGTAGAAATATTTAAAAATTCTCCTACTTAAAAATCTGTTTCAGATCCTTTCTGAGCTGGGATCTTTCCCTGAACTATTAAACAAACACATTTGATAACCCTACTGCTAATTGCATGATAGAGTTGATACAAGGATAGATGGTGCTGAGAGCCTCAAGAGCTTTTCCATTGCAATTTTTTGAGAGAAGCTGGAGGCAGAAGCGTGGACAAGCAGGGTCAGTTTTAGAGGCAATGGTGTTTTTAATTTCCTCTGTGTGGATCCTTCTCCTATGTGATGTTCGGTAGGATATTTCGTATTGCCCAACTTAAGGAGTAAGTGCTGCAGTGAAGAGAGAAGCTGCAGGCTGTCTCCTTCTGGGAAATCTGCCCATGTAATCTTCTGCAGTTGGCAGAGGCAGTCTGGCAGGAGTGGGGTGTAACCAGTCCTTGGCTGAGCCTCGCAGTGTCCGATGGGCCCTGGGGACGGGGGATTGTAATGGACTTGATTTGCACCAGGGCTGCATTTTGAACTGATGCTCGAGGGCTAAGGATAGTTATTTTATTTTCTGTCGGTGTTATTTTTGCCCTCTGCATCCCAGCAGAAGACTCGAGGGTTTTCATCTAGCTATGTGGGTTTTGCACGTTTTCTTCAGGTTCTTTAAGTGTTCCCTGTGTATGAAAGGTATTTACAACCACAGCCTTCCCCTGCACGCTTTCTGAGATCTCAAAGCTGTGTAAATTCAGAGGATTAAGGCTGAGTTTGTGCTGGGCTGAGCAAACAGGCAGTGAAAACTCCAGCCAGTGGATGGCTGTGGGATGTGAGCTTGTGCCAGGATCCTCCAGGGCTAATCATTATTTCCTGATCAAACAGAAAACGTGGAGTCCATTGTGCAGAAGTGTCTTGCTGTGGCATTTTAGGGGTAAGAACAGTCTCATTCCAGAGCTGAGGGCTGTGCGCCCGCATTATTCCCAGCTGTACTTATAAACTGGGCAGTGTGTACCTTGAGTGTCTTTGGAGATTGCAGCTGTGCCTTGGTGACAGAAGAAAAATGGCTTTTCAGGAAGGAGTGTTCCAAGTGATTCAGGGTTCCTGCCGGATCCGCTGCAAGCAGAGGTGCAGTTGCATAACCAGCTTGGCCTGATAATGATGGAAAAAGAATCACAAAGGTTTTTATAGCGGACTCCCAAAATCTGTTGCAGGGCCACCATGGGTTGCCAGCCTTTGCCAGGGTCTTTGTCAGTGAATCTTCACAGCTGCTGGTGTGTGAGGTAGTCCAGGGGGAGCTGGAGGAGGTACCACAACCTCAGTTTCAAAGTGTTCTTTGGTGTCTGTACATCCAAATAAACAAATAGGGAGATAAATCTGTATTTTTGGTGGAGTAACTGCCAGAAAAGAGGCTCTGAAGTAAGGCCTAATTCTTCCTTATCTGTAACCATGCAGCCAATTAGAACCATCTGCACTCTGTCTGCAGCCCAGACAGACAAGGGGGCTGCAGATGGAGAGGCTGTAGCTTGCCCTGGAAGGTGTCAGAGAAATTCTGAAGTGAGGACAGGTAGGAGACAGTCCTGGAAGCAATGAGTCGTAAGGAACAAAACAGTTTTCTATAATCTGGCAAGATGTAGCAGTCTTGTTTCTGGAACCGAGAAGAGAGAATGAGCCCGGACCCACCAGCCTTTGCTGGAGAAGGGATTTACTGGAGCTGTGACAGCAAAGGTGGTCAGCTCTGCAGACCCGGGTTGGGCAGAAACCACAAGGCTGATGTGAAGACCTATTGACTTTGGGGTCTGACTTCAGGTGCTGTCACTGTGTGAACCTGCAGGTTTTGCCTCATGTGCAGCCCCTGCTGCTGTGGGCTTGCCTTGGGGGAAAGGCTCCACTGGGGCAGTTTGTCAGGAGGCCAGCCTCACCTGCAGGCTGGGATTTCTGGATTGAAATCCGTCAAGGTGCATCAATAAACGTCCCCTCTTGTGATGTACTTTATATTCTGGATGTGCTTAAATTTTCCAGCAATTGCCTGTGCACAAGCACAGATGCACATCCAAAAATAGTACGCTCTTGTGCTAAGAGAGGTCCCCAACTTAGAGGTCATAAACTTTAGTAAAAGAGCAATCACTGGAAGGCTCTTTTAGTAGAGGAAATAGAAAGGAAACAAAGGAGGCAAGAACAGAAACTCCATTAGCCCCCTCCTGCTCTGTGCCTGAGGCTGCAGAGGTCTGCATTTAGCAGCCCAGAGAGCAGCCTGCTGTCACCCTCTGTCAGCAGGGACATGCTGAGTTCAGTGTCCTGCCTGCCCAGGAAAAGGTCCTGTGGGCTGTGTCCTCTGCTGAAGCAGGGAGAAAAGGGACTCTGGAGCAGGTTTTCTTCACACAAAGGTGGCTTTGTCCCTGTGGCTGCCCCAGGTCTCCCTCCACTGTCCCCCCACTGGAGGCAGGAGCAGCCTTGGCCTTGGGGCTTAATTCAGGGCTGTTTGGAAAGTGCTTGAGATTCTTGGATGGCACTACAAGTGAATGAATTATTTCCTTGGCTTTGATCCAGCTATAACTGTATTTCATGAATTAATTTTGCTAGTAGCTCAGCAGTGAGACAAGCCTTAAATCTCCAGACAAAATAGGGATGAAAAGCTGCATTTCCAAGTAGGGAATTTTGTAGGATTCAGTAAGGAGAAAAATGGAGATTTGCAGACCAGTTCTGTGGTGAAAGGAATCATCTGAAAACCTGCAGTGAATGTGCTGTGGGTAGCAAGGGAAGACTTTCCCTAAAGCATTAACAGAGGCCCGACCACCACGTGAAACCAGATTGAGTTTAAACCAAAATGGTCATTTATTGGCTTTGAAGGCATCTATAGAAATGAATATTGCCCCTCAAGCCAGTTAGTGCACGATTTGCTGGTGCTCTCAGGCGGTGGCATTTCCCTGCCCCAATCTCCTTTTTCCCCCCATTGTGGTCCATGTCATCTCATGCAGCATCTTCCTTGTGCCTGCTGTCACATCACAAGCTGCATCTTTGTGAAGAAGTGCATGTTTGTGGTGATTCCTGTTTCCAATGTTTTGCTGAGTATCAGTTAGCAGACACCATTTCCACATGACAAGTTTTTGATTAGTTACTGAAGATTAGCAATTTGATTTTTATCTCAGTAGCTTCCCAGTAAACAGCACAATATGACCTTCTTCAATTGGCATCTTGAACTGCTGCTTTAAAGTGTTACCTTTAAACTGAAAACCAAATGAGCAGCTAAACACTGATTTATATTCCTTTATCATTCATGGATAATATGCCAGACAGGTATTTTCCTTGCTCTTTCCCTAGTAATGGGCTAGGCAAGCTGAGCTGTGTTCTGTGCCTCCAAGACAGTGCTAGTTATTTTAATTTTGGTGGAAGAGTTGTATCTTTGGGGGTTTTCACCTTGATATATTTGTGTGTGCTCTAAGAGGAGCCTCCAGCCCCACAGGACTCCTGTGCAAGGTGTACAGAGGTTGGGTGCTGCCTGATTCTCTGGGAGCCTGGGCTGGAATTGGAAACAGCTGTATTTTATTGCCTTGGTTCTAATTTCAATGCGTCTGTGACCCTAAAGTGCCAATGCATCATCTCACTTCCCAGGGAAGGGTAACTTTAAACAAGTGACTGATTTGGAGTGGAATCAGCATGTTGCACACTGAGGCAGTCAATTCACTAATTAAGGGAGAGGGGGAGGAAGTAATCTGGAGCAATCAGCGGGGCATTTCATTCCAGTTCCTAATTTTCTTTTTTTGTTGGGCTTCAGTTTTTGAGAGAGTAGAGAGCTAATGATTTTCACGAGCTCTTTTGCAGTACTGAAGGTGTGTGCATTGATGTGAGCAGTTGTATTGTGATCCCCATTCATGTAAGAAACAAATACCTGTCATGTAACTGCTTGAGTCAAAAGCAAGGCATTTAGAAAATACCTGTGGCTGAGTTTTGGCATAATAAGCAGTGATTTTAGGGTATTTCCTAATCTATTTACCTCACATTAAAAAATAATCGGAATAGATATCCTGCAAAACATTCCCATAAGGATTCAGTTTTTATCCTTGAGCAGTTAGTAATAGACATAAGGGAAAAATATATCTAGCTGTAGTGACCCAATGTCATAGTGATTTGTCATATTGTTTCTTCAGCTCCTTTTCCACACGGTGTGCATAGAGAGAGAGTTTGGTACACTGTCACTGGGAGTTCAGCTTCCAGCCCTCAGAGATGCCAGGGATAGCAGAGTTAATTCCCTTCTCTGATCTCACTTCCAATGTTAATCATTATGACATGCCATACCTGCTTTTAAACTGTGCTTAGATTGTGTGTTACAGCCTGGTTGGGGCAGACACTTAACACTTAGAAGCGTTCAACCTCTGTTGTGTGTTTGGATCCCATTGATCTCTCTGGCTCAGGGAATTTGTGGTAGGGCTTTAGAAGTGCCTTTCTCCATATGAATGCTGCTGTGAATCAGAGACTGTCAGCCCCAGGGGGGGTCTGATACTTCTCAGATCAGAAACAAAACAAAACCCACCTCTGTTTCAGTTGAACAGCTTAAGGCTTCCCTTCAGGATGCTGATTTGCTCATGTGTCTTGACGTATGGTTTCTGAATTAGTCTGAAGTGAGCTCATTTTCATACCCAGTTTCAGCATCACTGAAATTAATCAAACACATAGCCTGGAGAATATTCATCCTAATCTAATCTAAAATTACTGTTTGGGTTGTGCATGCCTAATTATTCATTTTACGTCATCTCTGGAAGATACACACTGTCTTGTTTGTGTTTTTATTCAATATTTATACATCTTAATGCTTAAAGGTAGCCACAAAGAACGTAAAGAACTTATCATTCTCTTTTTTAATCTCCTTTACAGAAGGACATGTCACTAAAGCCTCAGGAGCGGAAGGAGAAATGGGAGAGGCATCCAGGCAAGAAACCTAGAGAATCTGAAAACTGTGTATCTGCTGAGCCAAGTGAAAATGGCCATAACAATGACGCGGGGAGCTCCGAGAGAGAGGCAGACAGAGGCAAGGAGCGGATGAAGAAGAAACTCCCCTTGAAGCTATCCAAACAGGTAGGGAGATACTTCTCACCTGAAGAGACTATCTTGGTGTTGGGCACTGTGAAATGTTGTCCTTGCTGGCAGCTGAGGTTGTCCATGGAAGTGGCTCCTCTGGTGATCTGTGCTGGTGAAAGCAATGCCTCTGAGGAGACTTGTGGCACTGCACAAATCCTGTGCTGAGGGCAGGGTCCATAAGCTGCAGGGGAAGCCAGGTGTACTGAGTAATGCAGGAAGCAGCAGAGCTCCCTGGTGCCTGCAGCTTTCAGACAGTGCAGTGGTTCCTACGGTAGATTTGTGGCCCTGATGGTCTGGAACACAAGTAGGAATCATCCATCAGATCATCACCTCCTTTGGAGGATTTGTGATGGGCAACGTGCACCTGGAAGTTGCAGACTTCTATGTCCATCTCACGACTTGGGTTTCATTTACCCCCAAAAGCGAGTGTTGAGGAGGAGAGACTATTTAAGTATTTTAGAAGTGAAAAGTCATTTTGCAGGAAGCTGTGCCCTGGGCAGTCTTTGCTGTGTACCCTTCTAAAATGTGGTAAAGCATTAATGAACGAAGAGTTGTCATGCTGGAGGGAATTATTCCAGAGACTCCACCTGAGCCACAGAGGGGCAGGTGATAAAGAAAAGGCACTGAGGCTGGCAGGCTCTTTATCACTTAACTGCTGCTCAGCAGGGAGGTTTGTTAGTGACTTAGTGTGCATTCATGGGTTGGCAGTCTCCATGGCACAGCAGCATCTCTCCGTGGACACTTTCCCAGCTGTCCTTAACAGGGTGCCAAGTGGCAGCCAGTGGGAACACCAGGGTACTTGACCTTCCAGCATTTGTTCCGAGCTAAGAAACACACTACGATGAAAAAGTGGTTTTTATTCTCCATTTCTCTAGCAAAAAAAGAGCTGTTTAACTCAAGCCACCTTCTGTTCTGTGAAACTAATTCTGTGTGTGTGCCAGACAGCCAAAGATTGAATTGTCCAGTTACTGGAAGTGTTTTTTCAGATTTGCAATACTTTAACATTTAAAAATATGGTGAAGGTTATGTCATGAAGCACTCCCCTATAACTTCTCCACCACATACTCTTGCTTTTCAGCATATTGATTTAGAAGGGCTCATCACATTTTAAGTTAGAAATTCTCATGGTCTGGTGAAAGTTGTTTCTTCAGTTCTATTACACTGCAGGAAATCCAGTGCATGGCAGGGATTTGCATAGTTGTGGATGTGTGAGACAGTGGGGAGGTTCCCCCTTCCTGCAGGAGGAAGAGGTTGTTAACAGTGACATCTTCTACACGAAATTTAAAACCCTGTTTCACATAGCTGTGTCCACTAGGGATTTCACAGCACTTCCATAGAAGCCTCTGGGGTAAGAGATTTTGTTGCACTGGCAGATTCCAATTTCCCTCATACTCTGCTGCCTTAGTTTACCAAATACTTAGTTTCTTGGTAATTCTGCTTTGAAAAATGAGGATGTTTTTACTTACTTCTTTTGAATAGTATTTGGCTGCCATCAGTGGTTAAATAGGGGATTTGCTGCTGCATTCATAAAAACCTAAATTCAACTTCCACTGTTTAATTTATTTTAAACCTGTAAGGATAAGTAACAAACTCTAAAAAGAGTGAGGAGCTTGCACAAAGAGTATAAAAGAAAACCTGTGATGAGTGACTCATTAATACATGGTGCCTCTTTAAATAAGTCACACTTAGAATTCCTCTGTTGTTGGAAAGGAAGGTTTTTTAAATACCTGCTATTATCCTAGCTGATAACAATTGTGAAAACCAGACAAGTTTGGAGGTCTGTTAAGTTGATTAAAGTAGCAGCAAAATCTAAACTACATAAACTAGGCTATTTTTAGTTCAAATTCATTATGCAAATGATATAGACAAATTCCATAATTTTTCTTTTTTTTTTTTTTAGTAATCACGAAATTCACACCTAGAATTCTGGCATTTCCTGCCAAGCTGTCTGGACAAATTTGCTATAATACTAAGATTCCTGGAATTTGGGGGTGATTTTTGCATCTCAGGGTTATTAAACATAGGTTTATACCTAATTTGAATAGCTTACTGTAATTAATGCTAATTATATTGAGATGTTGCTTAGAAATTACTGTTCAATTTGAAGCTTTCCTTCTACTCTCATCCCTTCTCTTCACAATGCTACTGAATTGTCATCTTTTCCATGCAGCTTCCTCTAATAAATCAAATTGGGCATTATAATTATGGCATTCTGCTAATCCTTGTAGAGAGGTGCAAAGTGGTAAGCTGATTTCAGTGCCAGGTTGTCTGCTTTGTTTAGAAAATGAGATTTATACTTCACTCCATTTGACAAAGCATCCAGATTGCTATTGCTCCTGAATATTTGGTTGTTCTGTACCTCGGGCTATGGGGAGAGGGCTGCAAGAACCAATCTGTCCTTTCCAGCCTATTACTCCCAACTGTGTATAAAAATCATTCAAACACATTTATCTCTCACTGTAACTAAGCAGAGGGAGAAAAAGGCATTTCAAATGGTCCTTTTGTCCAAGGTTTGTCAGAGTTTGGGGCTGCTGTCAGTACACAGGGGAAGGTGCTGACTTCAAACTGCTGTTCTACAATGGGCATCAACAAAAGCCCTTGCAATCACCAGGGTCAGGTATGTCCAGTAGTGAGAAAGTGTTCAGGGCTGTGGTGAATTTTGGTGCAGCCAGAGTGTCCTGCAGTAAATCCAGCCCCTCTGAAAGGCTGCAACTCCTGCAACACAGGAGCATTCCTTGCAAGTTGGGTCATGGCCTTTTCAAAAGCTAACCCAGAAAGGTTGGGGGAAAGGGACAGTGCTGGTGGGGGAGTGCAGCCTGTCACCTCTTTAAGGGATTTAAAGGGTTGGATGTGTAATTTGATTGGATTAAGTAAGAGGTACATATACTATGGAACCTCTTAGTTCCAGTGTTCCCTTATGTGTCCTATGTTGTTCTTCCAGTCTTTGGGGAGTCACTCTTTGAACTTGTGAGTCAGTCTTTGATTAGCCTTAGCTGAGCTGTTCTTCTCTTTTCTGGTTTCATTTTTGGAGTTGCTTATTCCTCTGAATATCTTAGCACCATGGACATAGAATAGTTGGGGTTTTGGGTTTTTTCCTTTTTTTTTTCTGGGTTTTAGAACACGTTACCCTTTCTGTACGATGACCTTGTGAAAAGAGTTTATATAGAGTTTAAAAGAGTTTATAAAGAGTTTAATAGGAAAGAATTGCTAATATTTCCAGTTAGTTTAACCTCAAGCTCTCTGTTTAGTCAGCTTGGGAGCGTCGTGGTGTGTTGAATATATTTAGATGTTAAATGCGGCTGTAATAACACAGTGTTCTGCAGATAGTCATTTGTCACGAAGATTAGTGTCTTACACCTCCTCCTTCCTTTTCTCACCCACTGTTTAAATCACCCGAGATGAGGGAGAGTCTCGGAGAAGCTGAGGAGAGGGTGGTGTAGCACGTATTTAGTGCTCATAAATAGCGTGCTGGGCTTGGAGCCGGGGAGGAGAGGGCAGGGGAGTGACAGGGTCCTGCTGCTGTGGCATCTCTGAGGCTTCAGCAGAGCTTCCTGCAGGGAGGGAAGGCACAGCAAATTCCCGAGCTCACTCACTCCCCAGCTTCCCCAAACTGTGAGTGCTGTTGGTGATTAATGTATCGTGTTGGTGCTGCTCTTGCTGGACTGGAACTGCTAAATTGCATTAACAAGTTTGATTACCTATTCATGTGGTTTCTCTGTGATGCTCATCATCTCGTTATCCAACATTCATTAATGGATATAACACTCTCCCTGCCCCCCAGGAGGGCTGTGCTCTGGGTTACTGCTGATCTGAGCTAAAGGTGATACACTAAGTCATTTTTTCCATCCAGGATGCATGTTGTTTCTTCTGATGTCTAGGTGAAAATTGATAGCTCCTTTTCAAACCATTTACATACCCTTGGTCCCATTTGTGTGTGCTGGTGGTATTGAAAAGCTGTGGGGCCTTTCCCAAGACAGAGAGAAATAGTCTAGAAGCTTGTCTGGATAATGAAATACTGCGGAAAATTTCCTTTGGCATCATACTGCTCATGCTGACAGTTGGGCAATAGGACTGTGTAGCTGCTTGAGTTTTACTTGTATTTTTCAGACAATGGTAAATAGTATTTATCATGCTTGGATTTGTAGCCACTGGTGGGCTGGAGGCAGTGTGTGCTCTAGTGGTGCACGGTTCAGAGGCTGAAATGTCCCTTTCTTAGCTGAGGTTCAGCTGCCACACAGGAGAGTGAGTCTGGAAAATAACCTTTGGAGCCTTTGTCTTTAGCCAGAGGACATGGATATGCCTGTTCTCACATGGCTTAATAACATAGCATGTGGAATCTGAATTGTGTCTAAGAGGGTCTAGATATAACAGTAAATTATTCTGTTACTTTCAGTATCTCTGCTAAAACCCAATGAATTCTAGGCAGTCAGCTTACAGGGGAAAAAAAAAGACAGAGAAGAAAGGTTGCCTTTAATGTGGGTTTTGGTGATTGGTTTGGTTTGGTGTGTGCTGCTTTGGTGTTTGCATTTCACTGCTTTTGAACACTGAAATTATACAAAGTAGTTTCTTTTTGTTTCTAATTTCTGTTACCCTTTTTGTTAACAGATATTGTTATTTAAACATTCTTTGAAACTGAACAACAAAGCAAAAGGAAAAAAGTCCGTTTTCTTTTAATCAGTAAAATGTCGCTTAAAAGCAGGATCCATTTCTACCTTTGTGAGTAGAAGAATGTACAATTTGGACATGAAAGCTCTTAGACTGATATTTTTTTAAGCAGGAATTTGTGTTGGCTGGGAGAGGGCTGATAAGGTGGTGCCATTACCTGTGTGGAGCCTCTGTCCAGACTTTGGCCAGGCTGTTGGAAAGCAGAGCCAGGGTTTGGCTTCCCCAGGGCTCTGCTTCCATCCAGAGAGGACGGGGCTGCAGTGGAGGTCACTGGGCTTGGTGAGTTGTGGTGCTGGGCTCCAGCAAAGCCTTCCCAAACACCAACTCCCTCT